TTTCTACTCCTTGTCTGTCTGCGTGTGGAGGGTAGCAATATAAGCACCTTAGAACAAACTCAGCCATCTTGACCTTTGGGGTCAATTTTGAGGGGAAAAACCCCACTGTGCCACTTCCTTCAGGAGTCCCATCCTGTCTGCGTGGAGGACCAGAAAAAGCCTCTTCTCCACGTGACAGGTGACAAGAAAACCCCGTTCCTTCTAAGGAAGCCCCCCGCATGCACCCAGACTCAACAGAATAGTATTACACTCCAAAAAGTCTAGCATCCCTTCCATACCATGAGGGTATGCAGAGGTTCCTGGTCCCAAATTTACTACGAAGCCCCACGACCTAGCATTTGCAGAAACTGGCTATACTATATTGGGACCAGGATGGTAATGGGCAGTACTTCTCAGTCCACTCTGTTCTGGGGAAAACAATAAACAGAATGGTCTGTAAAGTTATCATGTGTTCTTACTTATGACTACTCTCTAATAAAAATATCTTTAATTCGCAGGCTTACGTGGAGCCAGCCCAATGAGCCTGCCCTTTCAATCAGAACAATCAAGGCAGCAGTGGGGTCCCCCATCTGTACTCAGGGTTGGATCCAGAGTCCAATCAGCCTGGGTCTGAAGCCTACAGAATGTTCTGGAACTCAGTGTCATCAGGTGGTTACGGGCCCAGGCTTTCGAGCCTGTCAGACCTAACACCTCACCCTCCACTTATCCTTATGTAATTCCACACGGGTTGCTTAATTTCCCCTGTGCCTTAATTTTCTCATCTCCAATATGCAAGTCATAAGATCTTCAGAGGAAACAGAGACGAAATACAATAAAGCATTTAGCACAGTGCCTGGCACACAGCGAGCTCGGTAAGCGTCGGGGATGGTTGGTGGAGTGATGCAGAACCAGGCCATTCCAAAGACCAGGGCCTGGAGAGAGAAAAAGTCATGATGGGACAAGATAGGACATGAAGGAAAGCAAGGCCAGGAGGGAAGGGACCGCTCCTCCCCTGTCCTCCCTATAAAGGCCACTACTGCCTCTCTGGGCAGGGAAACCAGGAAGTCTGAGTCAGGCCTCTTCCCAGCCTGCTGGCTTCCACCGTCCCCCTGGGACACAACCCCTAAACCTTTCAGCCTCCATGCCAGGATGTGCAGGTGCCTGGAACTGGCTGGAGGAAAGGCTCACCTGTCTGCTCCCTATGCCATCCCCAGAGCAGGGAGGCAGAGCCCGTGGGGTCCCCACGACCGAGTGCCCGGTGTGTGTGTGCGGTGGGTAGGGCTCCGTGGACCCCTCTCCTCAAGCGGACGGGGAGGGTGAAGATGCCTCTCCCATTCAGGACCACGATGGCAAACCATAAGCCTTCCCCAGCCCCTCCCTAGCAGGCAGGCACGCCTAGTGGGGCCAGATGTGACTCCAGGTTGCAGCATTTTTCTAAGTTGATAGGTTTTAAAAGGTCAGGCTCTTTGGTGTTAAAAGTTTTAGAGACCAGTAAACTTTACAGGAGAAGACACAAGACATGGCTGTCATGAAAAGACTGCAGCCAGGAGCCTAAAGGAGCTGTGGGATCTGAGGCAGGTCGTGGAGGCTCTCTGGACTCCATGTTTTAACCTGGAAAACGGGAGCAAGCCAAGTGGTAAGGGGTAGGGCAGTGTGCTCCCGCGTGAGCCGGGGCTCATCACCTCCTGATGACACTAAGTGTCCCAGAGCTCTTTCCAGGATTTAGACCCAGGCCGATTGAATTCTGGAGAGCCCCCAACACACGCGGGAGCCCAGTCCTCCCTGCCACGGTATTGGGGAGCAGCTGAACACAACGGGAAGGCCCCGGCCTACAGTCCTGCACTCTCGGGGCTTTTCATGCCTAGCCTGGATGGCTGCGGTCCGCGCGTCGGCCTCCGCTCCCTCGGTGGAGCCCGGCCGTCTGCAGGCTGAGCTCGGGAATCAAATTAGCCAGGCCTCTGCTTTTCCCTCGGCCCCACGGGCCAAGCAGAGTTCATCAAGGCCTCGCGCTAATTTTTATCTTGTTTAAAGGGGACAAAAGTGGACTCCACAGTTTCAGTGGAGGCAATTTACACCCTGCCACTGGCCACAGCTCCAACTACCCCCTGTCTGTTGTGCCATCAAATCCATTAATGGGACATTTCTTCAGGGGAAACTTGATTGCTGCTCCATCAGAGAGGCACGCAGGCAATACATCTCCATTCGAGGCTGCGGCCTGCCCGGCTCGCTATAATCGTATTACCCAAGAAGCTAATTCTCTAATGCACACACTGTGCCGAGACATCCTCCCCCCGCCCCCTGCCAACACCCCCCCCTCCCGCCCCCCGGCACCGTTGGGCAGTCCCAGAGGATTCCAGGAGCTTGGCGCAGAAACAAAGGCTTGGGGCTCAGAGGACAGGGGCTCCAGGCTTTCTTGCGGCCCCTGCACTGGTCTCAGCACACACCACCCCACAGTGTAGGAGGGTCAGCCACATTCAGGCCCCCCCGCCCCCCCAGCCCGCTTCCCGGCTCAGCCTCCCCGGCAGCCTTCTCTTCCTCGCTCTGTGCTCCTCTTTGGGTCTCTCTTTCTCCTTGCCTTCTACTCTTAGCTTCCTTGTCTTTCTCAGTTTCCTGCTAATTTTCTCTTCTCTCATCTTTTGTTTTTTACTTCTCTCCCTTCTTCTCTTCCTTCCCTAGATCCCCCCTTTTCCTGTGGTTTTACCTTCCATTTCTTCGCACCCTGCTGGGCTCTGTGCCTCGCTCAACACGTTCAGTGCCCGATGCTCCTTCCTGCTCTCTGTCCCCAGATTGCTTGGGTCTGTGGCGGGAGCGGGCTCCAGGCCACCCTGGCCTCGGCTTGGAGCAAGAGAAGAGGGCGTGCCTCGTGAGTACATGCAGGGAGCCCCAGGGAGGACAAAATGAGGCACTCGGGGGCAGCAGTTAGAGCATGTGGAGGGGGGCCGGGGTTATGGCCTGCAGAGGGGAGCAGCTAAGTGTTGTTTGTTCTTGAAGGACAAAACAACTGTAATGGAAACCCCAAGTGGGTTACCGCGAGGCGCCAAACCTGGCAATGCCCACATGAAGGGACCCCATCAGGGAACGGTATAATGCTATGTGCAGATTTTACAATGCACAACAAGAGGAAAAGTCCTTCTAGAAATTTGCAGATTTCTAAGTGACAATGGCCAAAAATGGAGGTGAGCATGAGCCCAAGAATCTTTGTGTATCCCTCCAGATGCTGGGCTCGAGGATGCATTTAGGGATCCACAAGTACCCCTCCTGAGTTTGAGCCCCTTCAGGACCTCAGCCTGGAGGCCGGCGGGCAGCCTGCTTCTTCTTGCCTTGCCTTGCCCTGTTGTCAAGCCTGGGGTCTGTATGCATTCATTCTGGTATGCGGGTGTCTAGCACTCTAAATTCCCTAGCAGTTTGGGGGTGCCTATTTTCTCCTATTCTACCACTTACCCCCATCTCCGTTCCTCCAAAAGGAAATCCTGGAGATGATTTTCCTTGTTTCTCCTGGATTGTGCAGTGAGGAAGCCCATGACTTAAGAGAAGGTAGCCCGACCTCCTTAAGCTTGACTGAACATTCCAGGACAAGACTCCGGCTCATAGCCATATGAAGGGACTCCGTCAGTGAAAGGTATAAATGCTAAATGAAATTTCATCATGCACATGAATAAGGGGAAAAATCCAGACAGAACTGACAAGGACTCGTTCCTGCCCCAGGTGATTTTTTTTTTTAACTTAATTACAATTCAGAAAATTCTTCCTTCCTACCGTGTTCCCAGCCTATGCCACACTTAAATTCAATTGGAAAAGGAATGGAAAGGTATAAAAATGTTTTGTGACTAAGGCTTGCCATGATTTGATACAGGCGCTTCTTGCTTTGAACACACTCGAGGTGGAAAAGTCTGCTTCTACCCCAAATGGTGAAGTGGGATTCACTCAAACAAATTCACAGCAATAGTCTTCTCAATTTTGTTGGCACGCAGTTGGGTATCTGAGGGATAGATCCTCTCCTATTCAATTTACAAAGGAAAGAGAAACACTTCTTCCAAGAAAACATTTAAAAGGAAAGCGTTGAGAATGCTCATGAATTGATAATAAGCAAAGAAAGGAATGGGGTGCAAGTTAAGTGCAGGTATATTTACTTCACTGCATACGTATCATAGAAGAAAATTATAGAGGAATACACACCAAAATATTAACAGTGGCTGTCTCTGGGGAGCAAGTAAGCCCACAGATGATTTTAATTTTTCTTCATATTTTTCTCTAACAAGCATGTGTTTCTATTATATTTTGATAACACACATTTATTATGCATATTAAAAATATATAAATATATTGGTATAGTATAAACTATAGATCCATATATGTGTTGCTACTTAAATATTTAGATTTACATATTTAGATGAGAAAAATGAATAAATATGTAGATGAGGACAAATGAGCAGACATGTGGTAACCCTGGGTCCCCCTCCTCGGTCGGCCAAGGATGCCCGGTCACCTGCTTGGCTAGGGGCATGAATCACCCCGTGGTGTAAAGGAATGGCCTCCCTGCTCCCACTGCCTCACCCCTCCTGCCGCAGCCCCATGCTACCAGATCATACTTGACATAAATGAGGGCAGCAACCCAGAGCACCTCCCAGCAGACAGGCCGAATCCTTGCTCCAGGGGCTCCCGCCGGCGCCCCCACCCCACCCCCCTGTTACTCCTTGGGGAATTCGGCCAGGCCACCTGGCTGGATGGGTGGACCAAGTTCTGCCGCATGACATCAGCTGGGCGGGCTCCTCTCTCACTGGCTCCCTCTCCTTCCTTGCCGCCCTGAAACCTGATCCAGCGGAGGAACTGATTGCAGGAAAACTTGGCGGCCGCCCACCCCCGGTGGCCCCGGGCTGTGTGAGGCTGCGGCCTCAGAAGGTGTGGAAAGCAGCCCACCGGGAGGCAGCCTGGTGGGGACACAAGGCTGGCAGCGTGTGGGCAGGCTGCTCCTCAGCACAACTCACCCCGAGGCCCCGCCAAGCCACCCCACCCCGGGGGAGCTCACCATGTTGTTGTGGGTGCCACAGGCACTGCTGGTCTTGCTTCTACCAACGCTCCTGGCACAGGGAGAAGGTAAGGGGACCGGAGGCAAGCGCGTAGGATTAGCTGGCCACCTGCCGAGGGAGGGCAGGGGATGCTTGAGTCCCCCAAGGGTTGCGGGAAGGAGGGTTTTGGGGTGGGTGCTGCTGCAGGAGAGTCGGGGATCTTGCCACAGGTGAGCATGAGAGAATTTTAAGGCACTGTGGTCCACCTCCAAAGTTGGGGCGGTTGAGTGCAGGTGGGGGCAGGGCTCGCTGAGAGGGGCCCACAGCAGCCTGGTACTCGGAAGCGTGTACGAAGATGCTGGAGAGGGGCTCCTCTCTTCTTTGCCCTGCCACTAAACTCATGGAATGGCAGCTGCAAGGTACCCTGGAGCTCACTTGGTCTACCCCTTCTTGTTGTAAATGGGAATGCTGTGGTCCAGAGAGGGGGAGGAATTCACTCAAGGTCACACAGCACCTTCGCAACAGAGTGGAGACCAGAACTAACAGAGCCAACTTTCCTCAACTTCCCTAGTCTTGTGGGACGGGTTCTCTGGGCCTCCTTTCCTAAAGTTCCCTTCCACGGCTAAACTCCAGTGACACCAAACTTCTCCACACTCCCCCCCCCCACCCTTTCCTGCCTTCCTGGGATACAAGGTGTTGGGGGTCATAAAAGCATCTGTTTCCTTTTGCTACAAACAATATTGACTCCCCGTTCTGGAAGGTTTTCTCCCCATCCAGAGCTAGGTTGGAGCTGGGGGCTGAAGCACAGTTAGGAGGCTGTCCCGGGGCTGGACAGATAGGAAGAGCTTAAGTGCACAGTGGTTTTTCTCCCCTGAGCTGTCCCTAGGGAAGCTCAGTGGGACAACAGACCCAGGCTGCATGTTAAGACTCTGGTCTGGGGGCTTCCCTGGCTGAGGAGAAGTGCCATCCCTCCCAGCCATAGCCTTTTGCTCTGAGGCCTGCAGGGCCCCGTCTGGCCAGATTCCCAGCAATGGGATCGGGGCTGCTGCTGGTGTAGTGAAGACACACAGAGATTTGGATTTGAATCTCATCTCCTCCACTTGCAGGGCGCAGGACCCACCTTTCTGAGCCTCGGGGACTCTTATCTGTAAATGCTGTAGTCATGACAGCCACCCCAGGGGGCTGCTCCAAGGCTGAAACGAATAATATGTTCACTGATATTATTCCACAGGAGACGCTCCATAAATGGTCTCTTGTCTCCCGCCTCTTTCTGCTCTTCTCTGTTGTTCTGAGGGAAACGGAAAGTTTATCGGGGACAGGTGGGTGGGGAGACGAAGGGGGATCTGTAGGAGCGGTCGGCTGTATGGGTTGCACGCACTATCTAGACAAGGTGAGAGAAGAGGCACCTGCTGCGGGAAGGACCCGGGTGGCGCCCTGCCCGTCCTCTCACACCCCGTGCCCTGGCCCTCTAGGGCGCTCCCCTTCCCTACCCTATGCCCTTCACCTTCATACTTCTTGGCACCTCTCAGGAAGTGCTTCTACTCTTTCCCAGAGGGATGACAGGTACACATGAAATCCCCATAGGATGGGGTTGGGTTTCCTCATCACTATTTGGTCCTTTAGGCCTCCAGCTCTGGGGACAACTTGCTTTCTTCTCGCCTCCCGTACACCTCACACCTAACCCTCTTCCTACCTCTACCAGATCTGCCCACAGGGCAGCCCTCTGAGGGAATCCTGGCCAACCCGCTCCCAGGAGTCTGTGTGTGTGTGTAGCTGACTGGGCGGGTAGGGGGTTCTGCAGGAAGGAAAAGGAATGTCAGTGTTCACTGGATGGCTCCCCTCTTTCTTCATCAATAGCAGGCTGGGGTCAAGGAGCCAACAGGGATCCGGGCAGACGATGAGGCAAACCCTCAGGCAGACCTTGGTGCTGAGAGATTGTGCACTTGGGGCCACCTCTCCTTGCAGCTCCCTCTCCTTCCAGTACCACGTCCCGGGGCCATTCCTCCTTGGCGCCCTGGTGCCCCTCATCCGTCCCCCACAGGCCCACCTCCTCTGGCAGGCACCTACTCTCAACCTTTCTCAGCCCTTGGCCCCCTTAGACCTCACCTGTCTTGTAGCACCTGCCTTTGCACCCAGCTAGCGCCCTCCCTCACGTAAACGAGTGGGTCGGTTACGCTTAGGAGACAACAGCCTTGGATCTGGGCAGGACTCTCTGCAGATAAAATGTTCCAATGATGGGAATTTCAGTCGGTGGGGGGATCTGGGGATCTGAGGTGGAAATAGTGGAGATGTTTTCCTTTTAATAGCTCTCAAACCAGGGCAAGAGAACTGCGGAAAGCCTCAGGCTCTGATGCCCACTTTGAACTGTTCTTCTCAGCCAGGCGCTGGAGGCACCGCCAGTCCCAGAACGCCTCCAGGCCGGCTCTGCTGAGGCTGTCAGATCACCTCCTGGCCAACTACGAGAAGGGCGTGCGGCCCGTGCGGGACTGGAGGAAGCCCACCACCGTGGCCATCGACGTCATTATCTATGCCATCCTCAGCGTGGTGAGCACTTGGCCCCAACCTGTCCCACTCAGAGGTGGACCTTTTTGGGGTGGAAGACTGTGGAAGGCCAGGTCACCCCCTGGGCGGTACAGCAGATATTCAAGGACCCAGACTCCCTGCAATCTGGCACAGACCCGAGTCAGGACAGATGACATCACCCAACACCTGCTCAGCTGCCCAAACCAGAAAGTGGGGTCATCTGTGCGGCTGCCTCTCCCAACCCTTACGGCTGGAGAACCGCTTCCCACGTGTGGTTCTTCACTCGGTGTATCATGGTGACCACGTCTCCATGCGAGTTGTGTGAGGCTCCAAACTGTCCTGTTGCTCTCTAGGCCCTCAGTGTCTTACACAGGCCCCTGATACATGGCAGGTGTGGCCAAAGGATTGTTGCAGAATTAATCCCAAACCAGTGATGAAGCTTTCTCTCGATGCGGTTTTGCACCTCTTGCCTGCACGCTAGGACGGGAGGGAGATCCAGATCCAGATATATAGGCATACAAATACGTAAAAATATATAGACAGAGAGAGAGATGATATTTTCTATATGTCTCCTCTTACCTCTATGTTATATATATTATATATGTAAAATATATGTAACATAAGAGGCATATATATAATATGTATAACATAATAGAAAATAGTAGAATATATATATATGTGTGTGTATTTATATATATGTATATATATATATGAAGTTTTAAAAAATTGGTTGTATTTCTTCCTAGGTGTGTCTAGTAAAAGACCAGCTCTTCCTGGTTGGCCCCTTTTCCCCTTTTCGTCACTCTCTCTTCCCAAAGGAATAAGGACACAAAGCGGCAGCCCCTTTTGGGGGTTGTGTGCAAGGTGGACGCCTGCCCACAGGGCCACTGAAGCTGAGCTCCTTTTCCCTTCACAGGATGAGAAGAACCAGGTTCTGACCACCTACATCTGGTACCGGCAGGTGAGCGACCAGCCCTGGGCCCACCCTCATTTCCTGGGATCTGGGCCTCCCCTTCCAGGAAGGATTCCTCCATCTCAAAGGGATCAGGACCCTCAGAGGCCTTGGCGAGGGAAGCGGAGGGGAGAGGCTCAGAGGCAGACTCATGAGACAAGGAGTCTGGGCCCTTCTCATCTCAGGACTAGCAGTGGAAGGAAGCGTAACACTCAGAGGAGAAATCCGCCAAACCCCTCTGGTTTCTGAGGGTTTCACAGCATCTCAAACAACGACTTGTGCAGCCTCTGTTGATGGAAAACCTCCAGCGACTGGGAGCTCAATGGGCAGCAACTGCACTTTCAGACAACTCTTAATTGCTAGAAGGTTCTTCCTTCTATCAAGCCAGATATGATGACGACCAAATGAAGAAATTGACACGGGCTGATTCCATGCACCGAGTCCTCACCCCCTCAGCCACCTCCCCACTCTCTCAGCTTCTGACCCGCGTCGCTCCGGCACTTGGTGGAAAGTCTCTGAGGCCTTTACGGCGCGTCTGGCGGGGAGCTGGTGGGGAGGGCAGGCAAACCGTGCAGGCTGCCGTCCACAGCCTGGTCTGCTCTCGCAGCCCCTGAGCTGTGGGGCAGGCATGAGAGTCAGAGGGAACCACAATGTCTGGGGAGAGCAGGCAGGAGGACGGGGCTGGTTCACAGCGGTCAAACCTAAGAGAGGCTCCGTCTGGGGACAGGCCTGGCATATGTGGGTCTCAGTTAAATCCCTCCTGCTCCTCCTGAGCATACTCCACTACCACCCGCTCAGGCAGAGAGTGGGGTGGAGGAAGATGCCAGAATGCTGATTCCTGCCAGACGGCTCTCTTCTGCTTCACAGAGATGTCTCACTACGGAGCACACCCTACATCAAGGGAAGGGACCCAGCAAGAACAGGCAGCCTGGAGCTCCTTTCCTGGGACATTTGGCTTAGGTCCCATCCCTGGACCTCAGGGTCACTTGTCTGCCCGGCAGTGAGGGGATGCCAACCTACGGTGTTGCAGTGACTTTGTTAAGGGGCCAGAATCAGAGACGCAAACTAGACTCAGGCCCTGCCTACAGTGAGCTCACAGACTATGGGGGCCACAGACACATGGAGAGGCCAGTGAATGCAGCAAGAACGAGATGCCAACCATGGGAGCCCAGAGGAGGCACATAAACACCCAGCCTGGGAAGTGGGGGTCATGGAAGGTTCCTGGAGAAGGGAGCAGACAGATGCTTTGGTTAAGTCTGGAGAGACGATTAAGCCCTCCCTCAGGGGAGAAGACCAGGATTGCAGCGTGGGAGCGCGCGGATATACAGAGATGTGGGGGGGTTTACCGCACGCGGCTGGAGGCAAGAAGCCACCGAGAAACGGAATGAATGAGGCTAGCGAGAACGTTGGAGGCCAGGTGATGCAGGCCTTCGCTGGCCACGAGGTCTAACTCTATCCCAAGTGCAAGTTTCGCCACTGGAGTTTTAAGCCAGGGAGTGACAGGATTAAGTTGACATTTTAGATCAGCCATTCTGACAGGATGGTGAGCAATGCATTGATCAAAACCTAACGACAACCATCTCTACCCTGTGAGGTGCGTGTTATTATCTCAATTTACATGTGAGCAGACCAAGACCCAAGAAGCTGTTTGTCCAAGATCCCACAGTTGGTGCATGGGCTATTCCACCAGGAGAAATGACTGCATGCTTTCCCCGGGCAAGGCTTCATTTGCCTGGGTCCTATTTGCATGCTGGGAGTGTGTGAGCACAGAGGTGGGGGGGACCCTCAGGTACTGCCGAGTGATTTGGAGGCCATCAATACCCAGATTCCCCCCGAGTGGTGAAGTAATCCCAAGTTGCTGATGCCCTGCCCCCACCCAGAATGGAGGGGGCTGCCTGTGACCATCCCCATTCCTCCCCTAGTACTGGACAGATGAGTTTCTCCAGTGGAACCCCGAGGACTTTGACAACATCACCAAGCTGTCCATCCCCACTGAGAGCATCTGGGTCCCGGACATTCTCATCAATGAGTTGTGAGTGCTGTCGTGCAATGCTGGGCGGCCCAGTGGCTCCCGGGATGGGGAGGGGCATGAGGACAAGACTCTACTGTAGCATGAGAGGTCCCTCCCAGGCCTGCAGAACTGTAGGTAACGGAGGGGTTGGCTTGGGCCCCAGTTACCCCTTTGTGGTTTTGTTCTCCTTTCTCTTTTCTTTTTAAAACTCCTCTTTTTACCTATGCCTGATGTTGAAACCTTGCTTTTCTTGGTGTGAGGGCCCCCTTCCTGGGGAAGGGAAGCTGATGAATGAGTCCCCACTTTATAATAGCCCAATGAGGGACAGTTGCATTTTTAAAGGGGGCAGTTGAGGTTGCCGAAAGGTATGAAGTCCCCCAGGGATCACCACCTCTGGTCACAGGGTGATTTGGAGCTGGGAGATGCTCAGACCTTGCCAGTCACACAAGTGACTGGCTGTCTCCCGCTTGCACCCCCGATGAGAAGTGGGTACCACCATCCTTTATGACCAGCAGCTGAACACTGTCTCATGGGGCCCGGCTAACATCCCTTCCCCCGCCCCCCATCCTTCAGGCTCCTTCAGGCTCTGCTGCCTGGGCTTCTGAATGCAAGGGCACGGAAGATGGCTGGGGGAGACGGTTGGAAGAAGGAGGTGGCCCAGGGCCAGTAGCCTTCTGCCCAGTAGGCACTGCATTGTCCAATGCCAGGGGTGCCACTCACACTGTTTTTCAGAGGAGACAGCTGACCTAGAGCCCCATGATCTGCATAGCTCAGGCTGGAGGGATCCCAGTTCCTGGCTGGATCTCCAGTTCAACTGTGAAGTAGCCTGAATCTTGGTTTCTCATCTCTCAGCCTGCTTCCACAGGAGGCTGCAGGCTCAGGATGCCCAGCTCAGGCCATTCCGTGCCACGGCCGTCACTTGGGAGAGCTCAGGGTTGGGGATCTGCCAAGAGAGTGGGGCTAAGTCTTGCAGAACTTTCCCACCTTGCCTCACTTCTTCTCAATGATTTCTCTAGTTCCTTCTCCTCCAGGAAAGATCATTCTCATGTCAACAGGATTTCTAGGGATGGGGAGCAAAGAGAAGCCCGAGTCAGGACGGAACCCAATGTCCTGCTTTCCCACCGAGCCTGCCCATTGCCACCGAGCCGCTACTCCTGGGAGCTGAGCTCTGCCCAGCTGGGTGGGTGGTGGCGTAGGGACAGCTAGGCATGCACGTTAGAGCCGGTGGCTGTGAGGTACATGGATTCCCTGCCTGGAGAATAAAGGAGAAATGCCCTTTCTTGCTTGGAAAGTAGCCCTGGCAATGGCAGGTAAGAAAGCCTAACATAGATAGGAAGGAAACTGTGCAGGTTGTCCTGCTGCCCAGACCCTTCCTGAGTTTCTATCCCTGCTGCGTTGCTCAGAGTCCTTCAGGCTCCCAGAGCTTGACCTGCTTCTTGAGCCCCCAAACTGACCCTCTTCCCTGGCCAGTGTGGACGTGGGGAAGTCTCCAAGCATCCCGTACGTGTACGTTGGGCATCACGGCGAGGTCCAGAACTACAAGCCCCTCCAGGTGATGACCGCCTGTAGCCTCGACATCTACAACTTTCCCTTCGATGTGCAAAACTGCTCCCTGACCTTCACCAGCTGGCTGCACACCAGTGAGTACAGCACCGGGCTCCGGGGCGGGGCGGGGGCGGGGGCGGGGGGGGCGGTCCCTGGAACACCTGCAGGAGGAGCACCCCCAGGAGGCTCTCTCCTTCATCCAAGTCACTTCCTGCTTATTTCCTTAATGCCGTTGAGCTGGGTCTCCTCCTCCAGACGGGCCTCTGTGCTTGCCCTTGCCGCCTCCCCCAGTTGTCACCAGGGTCCAGTGAGACAGTGTAAACTGGCGCCGGACATTCAGTAAGGCCAGGATGTGGCCCTAAGTGTCCCTCACTTGTCTTCCCCACTGACGCGCCCCTCCCTCCTCTCTCCCCCAGCCTTCCGCAGTAACCTCCTAGCCAGTCCCCCTCCAATTCCTGCTCCTCATAACAAATGCGCAGAGCTTATTAAAATGCAAATCGGACCACAACGCTCTCTGCTTAAAAACCTCTGAGACTTCCTGGCACTCCTGAGACAGAGTCCAGATCCTTCACCTGGCCCACAGGGCCTGCCCTCAGCTCACCATTTCAGCCTCAAACCCGTGCACGCTCCCCTGAGCTCAGCTCCAGCCCCCACCTTCCTTTCCAAGCCCCAAAGCCCCTTGTTCTCCCCCTTTATCGCAGGCTGCTTCCTCTCCTGAGCCCCCAGCCCACTCTCCCTCCCTCTCCTGCTCCCCTTCCCACCCCACTTCTGCCCCCAGCCCCTCCTAGTGCGGCCAAGCCCCCTGCTCACCTAATCCCCACGTTGGCTCAGTGCCTCAAGGAAAGCCATCTCCTCTCCAGACTAGGTCTCCCCGTTGCGCAGTTCTCTACAGCATCCTGTTCTCCCCGCTTCCACTGCACGCAGAGGTGCTTGTTCCACGTCTGCTTCTCTAGCAGAGATAAGCCCAGACAGACCACGATTTCTGATCCACCGGTAGGCCCCCAGGACAGTGCCTGGCACAAAAGAAGGTGCTTGGCAAATTTTATTAGTGGATGAATGCCAGGTGCTCACCACAGCCTAGTGAGGTGAGCGTGATGTTCCTGCTAAAAGGTGTCCTCCGCCTTTATCTGATTTTATCACACTAACTGTACATTACAAAGATAACGCATAACTTCCTTGGACAAAAACCAGAATTACAAATAATCTTTGACTTTTCACCTTTACCTTCAATCCCAAACTCCTCACCACCAGGATTTCACAGCTTGTATCAGCATAAGCTTCACATGGCACATTCTTCCAGATCCTTCTTTATGTTTTGCAAAATACCTGTGCATACACATCTATGGAAAGCCCATGGAATTTTTTTCATATGTTTTTATTTTACTAAATGTATCATTTATGCTACTGCTACCTGATTCTTCTCACCCAATGAGAGGTCTTGGACATTTTTCTGAGTTAGTGCATATTTAGATCTTTCTCATAAATGTTGCCTGCTGTAGGATAGCTTGGGGTTTGGATACATCATAGTTTAGTAAGTCTTTCCCTATATTTTGCTGTAATGGATACTCCTGCCCTTCTAGTATATATCTGTTTTTCTAGTATAGATGCAGAGAAGTAAAACTGCTATTCTGTAAGTGAAGATTTCACTTATTTCCCTAGTTCACCTTTATTCTTCCTCTCTCTTTTTCCCTTCCTTCCTTCCTTCCTTCCTTCCTTTTTCTTTCTTTCCTTCTTTCTTTCTTTTTCTTTCTTTCTTTCTTTCTTTCTTTCTTCTTTCTTTCTTCTTTCTTTCTTTCTTTCTTTCTTTCTTTCTTTCTTTCTTTCTTTCTTTCTCTCTCTCTCTCTCTCTCTCTCTCTTTCTTTCTTTCTTTCTTTCTTTCTTTCTTTCTTTCTTTCTTTCTTTCTTTCTTTCTTTCTTTCTTTCTTTTCTTCTTTAGAGAGAAAGTGCACAGGCACTAGCGGTGGTCAGGGTGGTCAAGGGAGAGGGAGAAAGAGAGGACCTTAAGCAGGCTCCATGCCTAGCACGGAGCCTGATGTGGGGCTCAATCTCAGAACACTGAGATCCTGGCAGGAGCTGAAATCAAGACCTGGACACTTAACCAACTGAGACCTTAGCTCCCCTTTAAGGGCAGGGAGCCCTATCGGGGGAAAGGTAAAGAATGTTGACTTTTGTTCATTTCAAAAATGGGTAACCCTAATGGAAACACAGGATGTTTGGAAGGGGTATGTGGGGGAATGGTGTGGGGGGGGAGACAGAGACAGAGAGAAGGGGAGAGGGGGCTTTCTAATAAGTCATTTGTCTGGTTCTGGTTCTTTGCACTTCACTGTGTGTTTTCATCCAGGCTGTCACTCCCCTTGCCACAGCCCCTGTACCCCAGATGGGTGGTGCCATGTGCACTGCTACCTCATTTGGTAGCTGAGGAGACTGAGGCTCTAAGCCAAGAGGCGAGTGAGCTACGCCCCATCCCAGGGTCTGCACCCTCCAGAGCCGGCTTGCTCTCTTCCCTCTCAGTCCAGGACATCAACATCTCCCTGTGGCGCTTGCCGGAAAAGGTGAAGCTCGACAAGACCCTCTTCATGAACCAGGGCGAGTGGGAGCTTCTGGGGGTGCTGACCCAGTTCCGGGAGTTCAGTATGGAAGACAGCAACCATTATGCAGAAATGAAGTTCTACGTGAGTGGGACCGGGGTGGGCACTGGGGGACGACCACCGGAGCTGCAGGGACATGAGACCCACGGGGGAGTCCGGGAGGCATGGCGGGGCGGCCGGGGAGGCGGGGGAGAACCTCTGCCGCCCTTTTCCCAGCTCCGGGGTCACACTCGTGCCTTGGAACTTCAGGGAAGTAGGTGGGGAAACTCGGTGGACTTGTCCCTTACTCCTCCTCGATCCAGAGGCAGAACGTGAGGTCGGTCCAATTTCCTCTCTCGGCCTGGAAGCTCCACGAAGCAAGGGGGTCTGGGATGGGCTGGCGGTTCCTGGGCGCAGAGCCCCTCTGCCCCGGCTTTCCGCCACAGCTCCCGGCCTGGTCTTAGGTGGTCATCCGCCGGCGGCCCCTGTTCTATGCGGTCAGCCTGCTGCTGCCCAGTATCTTCCTCATGCTCATGGACATCGTGGGCTTCTACCTGCCTCCAGACAGTGGCGAGAGGGTCTCCTTCAAGATCACGCTCCTCCTGGGCTACTCGGTCTTTCTGATCATCGTGTCGGACACGCTGCCGGCCACCGCCATTGGCACTCCCCTCATTGGTAAGGCCCACCCCCCGGGCAAGCGCGCCGTGCGGCGGAAGAACCGAGAAACCCGCCCCTCCCACCCGCGGTGCGTGGGCCCCAACCCCGCCCCGTGTGCACAGGGGTCTACTTTGTCGTGTGCATGGCGCTGCTGGTGATGAGCTTGGCCGAGACCATCTTCATCGTGCGGCTGGTACACAAGCAGGACTTGCAGCAGCCCGTGCCCGCCTGGCTGCGGCGCCTGGTTCTGGGGCAGGTGGCCCTGCTCCTTTGCCTAGGCGAGCAGCCGGCTTCTCGAAGGTCCCCAGCCACCTCCCCAACCCCCAAGACCGATGACTGCCCAGGTGAGAGAGGGAGAGGGGAGTCCCACACAAGGGGCCTGGGCGTGGGGACGAGGTGGAGAGCCTGGGGCTGGCACGACGGGACGGGCCAGGGTCTGGGCGGGACTCGGAAGTGGGTGCTGTCCTGCACACGGCACCCCATGCCCGGCCTCACGGGGAGGCAGCAGAGTTGCCTGAGGCTGAGCATGTCGGGAGCTGAGACTTCTGGGCTGAGAGTAGCCTTTCTCCCAGACGGGCCCCCACGGCGAGCAAACAGATGCCCCTCAGGCAGTGATGGGACTTCGTCCCAACAGGGCTAGGTCTGCAGCCAGGATTTCCCAAACTCTTGCATTCCATCAGCTCAGAGACCAGGTCCCTTCAAATTTTAAACACCTATGAGAGAGAGCCGGGGGTGCCGGGGACACGGAATGTGGGGCTTGTTTCCCCTGAGACATTGTTACAGCCACCATCTGGTGGCGGGATGGGGGGGGGGTCGTTGTGCTTGCTGATGTATTTGTCGAGGGCTTTGGGCCAGGCATGTGCATCTTCTGTGCATTATCACAGGTCGTCCTTAGGCCCCCTAATAGCGTTCCCATCGTCATTTGTCAAACGAGGAAACAGAGGCATAAGGCCAAAGTAGCTGGCCCTTAAGTCACAGAGCCAGGAACGGGTGAAACTGGAACCCAGGCCCATCTGCTGCTAAGCTGGTATTTCTAACCACTCCACCTGCTTTTGTCCTCCCTTCTGGCAAGAGCTGGGCCTTCTACAGAAGGTATATGGTTAACTTAAGACCACCTCATCTCGAACAGGTTAGCTAGTACTCCAGCCCAGTGCCCAGTTTCACTGCTCACCTGCAAGGTAACCACAGCTGAAGGTGTATTTCTGGGTGCAGAGGACTTGGGTTGGAGTCACGAAGAGGACAGCAAGGCATAAGGGGGAGAGCAGTGGATTCACAGTCCAGATACCTTAGGCCTTGGTGGCCTCCCATTTAAAAGATGCTCCAGGTGTGACCACAGGCTCGTCACTTAACCTCTCTGAGCTTTAGCCCCTTTGTATAAAACGTGCGAGTGATAACTACTCCTATACGGCCTCTCTCATGGGCTATTGTGAGGCTCAAATGAAATAATAGATATCAAATTGCTGGAGGAAGCCCATGTGTTTAAAAAAAAAAAAATGCAGAGTAAGAATTAAACGCCAAATCCATGATCTCGGTGACCTGGGGAGTGAATGGAGGATGTGACTAAGGAGGGGTATACAGGAATCTCCAACTGTGTTGCTTTCCTTATTTGCTTAAGTCACATGGTGGGAACACAAATAGGTAAGTTAACCTCTACAGTCTTTATGTCTGAAATCGTTCATAACCATATCTGCAAGCCGCCGCAGAAACAGAAGGGATGGTGTTCAGACCATTCTGCTGGGCCTCCCTCCTTTGACAACGCGCTACCCTTTTTCCAGACGTGGGAAGCCCCTGCAACCACTTGGGAGTCCCCCGGGACTTGGAGAAGACCCCGAGGGGCCGAGGCAGCCCGCCCCCACCCCCGCGGGAGGCCTCGCTGGCTGTGCGAGGGCTGTTGCAGGAGCTGGTCTCCATCAGGCGCTTCCTGGAGAAAAGAGACGAGAGCCGAGAGGTGGCCCGGGAGTGGCTGCGCGTGGGCTCGGTGCTGGACAGGTTGCTCTTCCGAATCTACCTGGTGGCGGTGCTGGCCTACAGCATCACCCTCATCATTCTGTGGTCCATCTGGCAGTACTCTTGAGTGGGCACCGCCCAGCAGGGGTGTGGGGGTGTCAGGCACTGGTTAGAATGGGGAGGAGAGAATTTCAGGGCCCAGAGGATGCCACAGATGTTTTCAAGACCCTGTCCAAAGCCAGTGTGTCTCAGAAACTAAACCAGGGCTGTGACTCTTCCCCAGAAAGCTTGGCATTCAAGACCCTTTAACCTCCCGCCTCCCCCCACCCCCCACCAACTTATCATGGCTTTAAAACATGCTGTCTTAGATCAGGACAAACCGAGGTATTCCCTAACTTCATTCTATTGATCTGTGCATCAAGCCTTGGTTTCCCCCTTGTCACCTCCCTGCATGTGGCACTTTGGACTTCTGCTCATCTCCCTCAACTTTGGTTTTAGATTCGAGGCAAACCAACTCGTTGCTACACAGGGCTGATAACCCCATTAGGTTTATCCGACCCTAATGTCTCCTTCTCCACCTCACCTGTGGCCACTTCCCTGAACACTCTTGTTCCATGAGATGATGGGGGGGGCAGGTGGGGGCAATAAAATACAACGAACCCCAAGACTCTCTTCTTAACCATTTGTCAGCAGCTGGGTGGGTGGAAGAAGTGTAAAGTTACTGGTAGAAATGAGGTAGAGGTATTATCTGTGGTTTCAGTTATTTGGTGCTTTCTGCCCTGGAGATCATCAGGAGGTGACCAAACAGTGGCCATGAAGAGGACACACTAGGAGGTAGAATCCAAGGTGGGAGGGTAAGGACCACCAACACTTAGCAATGGAAAGGTTAGGAGCGGGAAGCTCGGTTCTGTGAACCCCTAGGAAGATGCTGGAAGTGTCCGCACAGTCCTGTTACCATTCTGGGCGCACAGTCTCTGGGGGAAGCTGACAGCAAGCTCTCCCCCTGCTAGAGGATCCCGCCATGGAGGCAAGGACATCAGCACCAGGGCCAGCACTCGCTGGTTTGGTCTTTGGAAGACAGGAAAACCAAGGCTTGGGTTTAACTATATCCCCTTGGGAACTCTCCGCAGCCAGCTCCTGGCACATTCACCCAAGTGCAGGACCATGAGAGAGGCAGAGTTGGGGGCATGGTCTTTGATGTTACTTCTCATATCCTGGCCCCCTCGCCCAAACACCAGGGTTTATAAGACATGCTAAGGAGTGCCCCAACTCTGTCACTCCCTCACTCCATCCATCTAACAAGTGTTCACAGGAAAGAATGCCAGAACCCACCAAGAGTGACCTTAGTGTCACAATGTTAGCTTGAGGCTTTCTCTGGCTCACCCGTTCTCATTCCAGCCCTTGGGCTGCCTGTCACTCAGAGGAAGGCATGGGGGAGATGGACTGAACCTGCCAGTCTAAAGGGAAAGGACCCAAAAGGAATATCTGGGATGAACCGTTCTGGGCTGGCCAATTATAAGGGTTTCAGTGTGGAACACCTGAAGTTATACCTTCTCGTGATCCCAAACTAGTGTTCTAGTGTGTAGACCATCCTGGGAGGCTGGGTGGGCGGCAGACCTTGGGCCCTTGGGGAGCTTCAAGACTGGGAGAGCCTATAGGAGACTTAACCTGTTTTAGCTTCTCTCAGCTTCTTCACATGTTCCCCAACATGCAAAGTGAACTCATTAAATATTGTCTACCTGGCTGCTGGTTCCTAAGGTGAATTGGGAATGAAGTTTCCCCTGCTATTTCCACCCCAGACATACGTGCTTTTGCTATTAGTTAGGGATTTTATATTTATCTTTGTTTTGCTGTTGGGTGGATATCGGGGTCCTCCAGCAAAAAGCAGGAAACTGTGGGGCTGGGGATTGGCTGCATTCACAGCTGTGGCCTCCCACTGAGCAAAGATAGTGCTAAAGGTGGGCACTGTTCATCCAAACTCTTTCGGGATGGTTCTGAAAGCTCATACTTGGAGCCTGGTCTTGGGACCGAAAGCTGCCCCACTCCACTAGGATTTGCCGGGGCTGATTCTCACGCCTCGGGCCAGGGAGAGAGGAAGGGGGACAGTCCGGTACTGTCAATGCACCACTGGTCAGTAAGTGGGCGGCTATTGACGAAGTGTCCGACCAGAGACTAGTAAGACACTAATCAACCTATTGATTCCTCATCTCCCCCCTCCCCACCCTTCACCCACAATCAATGGGGCAACAGAGCCGAGCACTGAGGCAGCCAATTAACCACCTTGAGAATGAGTCGCCACGTGTAGCATCTTCTGCTCCACTAGCTGCAGCCAATCAGCTCATCGATCGGCATCCAGACTGGGCTGCCCAGGGACAGGAAACTGAGGCCCAGGCCAGAGAACCCTCAGTGTACTACCTCTCATCCATCAATACTGATCTTGAGCTTCTCCCAAGGAGACCTTTACCCTGTCTGGGATATGAGAACACCCAGAATTTCCTCCCCACCTGTTCTGTCTCCCAGAACCTGCTCCCTTCCTTCCCTCTGCTGCTTCAGCTCATTGCCTCTCATGAGAAAACCAGACACCGCCTATATCTTTGTGTTTCTGAGAAGCTTGCTGGTTCTCTGTCTTCTCTCCACTCCTGTCCTGCCGCCTTCCCTCGCCACCCACAATACTTCAGCTCTCACCTTCTTTTCCTACTCACCCTGCTTTCCAGACCTGTCACGTCTGTGCAAAAGATCCCACTGAAGGTCTCGAAAATGCCCAGCATGAACCCCTCCAGCCCTCTGGATTCATGGCTGGCACTGCTCAAGGTGCAGAGCCCGCTGCCACCATCCCATCGGGGAGGCTGCCTTTCCATAGGGACAGCAGTAGCCTGGGTGCAATGACCTCAGGGCTCCTGACACAAGTGGATCTCCCCTGGCTTCCAGGACAGTCCAGGGAGAGGAGCTGAGCCCAGAGTCAGGATACGAGAGATTTCCCTAAGAGGACAGGAGAGAGGAAAAGTTGCCTGGTGGGGTGAAGGCGGGGAGGGAGAGCCTGTGGAGGGGTGGGGTTCAGCAATCACTAGCCAGCTTCTCCTCCCTCCCCCACCTCCCCGCAGCCTCCAAATCAATACATTTTGAATCTAATCTAATAACAGAGATTTAACGAGGGGATGATGCACGTGGAGCAGCCAGGCGCTTTGTCTCTGCTTTCATGCGGCAGCTGGGGCCCATTATCCGGGGACAATGCCCCATGCTAATCATTCCCTCTCTCCGAGTGCTCGAGTGCTCGAGTGCTGGGGGGGGAGTGGTGGGCAAAGAGGGCACCCCCTCCCTGATTGGAGGGGAGTGGAGGGGTGGGAGTGGGGGGACGAAGCCGAGAAAGGTCTGTATGGGCTCCACACAATTGTCTTGACCTGACACCAACTCCTTGGCCCTCTCCCCGGGGCCCACACTCTCCGCCCTGACCAGTGAGGGTCAGGGAGCCCTAACTGCGCACAAACAGCAGATAATTACTTATCAGCTGCAAGTCCCAGTGGCTGGGAGTTGGGTGGGTTGTTCTTGTTTTTTGTTTTTTTTTTTTTCTTTTCTTTTCGCTAACTTGGTCCTCTATAATTTAAGCTCTCCCATTAATGCTTGTGATTGGCCAGCCCTGACTGTCATGGTGAGAGAATTAAACCGTGGTTTAGAGACCAAGAATACCCATCTCTGAAACAGAGCCACTTCTTCTCTCTCTTCTCTCTGGGACTTTATAAATGGACTTGACCCGCAGGAAGAGGTGTGAGGTTAGACTGTAGCAAGGACTTCTTGATAATCATCTTGACACGGATTAGATTGGGAGTCTGAAGGTGAAGGAATGGAATCTAATTTTCGAGAAGCCTTGAAAGACAGAGAGCCCTGTATCTAGGTTGGGAAGGGGCGGACCAAGGAGGAGAAATCTGCCTCGGTTTCCACTGTCAGCGCTCTAGCTGTAGGGAGCCCAATGCCTGCAGTGGCCCATCCCATTCCTTTTTGCAACACAGTTATTTGGAGCCCTGTGGGCGCACAGGGTGGCTGCCACAGACTCGCGTCTTGGCTCCATCACGCGTCCGCTGTGAAACCGTGGACAAGAACTTAACTCCTCTATGCCTCCACATTCTCGTTTGCAAAGTGAGGAGCACATTAGCACCTCGCCCATCAGTATTGTGCCCCAACATGGGGCAAAAGCCCAGGGAAGCATGAGGCTGGAGTTGAGAGATGGCTCGTGGTGTATCAGCCCTTCTTCCGTCTACTCACATCACACTCTGAATGGGTGAGAACTCTCCCCAGGGAGACTGAAGATGAGGCCTTTGCCCTTCTTGTCCGTCCCCACTGCAGAGATGGGCAAGGAGAGGTGAGCTGGTCACCCATCATAAGGCCCGTGGGAGCTCAAGTTCCTGTCCCCACCAGCCTGGATTCAGACGTCTGTGCCCCATACCTCCGTGTCTCCTTTCCTCCCATTACTGCCCCCCTCCCTCACCCCGCACATTCCCAGCTCCTTAAAACCACAGCGTTGAATTCCCGCTCTGGGAAGGTGTATGCATGCCCGCCCCGATCCTGGCTAGGTTTCTCCCATTCTATTCCACTGTGTCCCTGTCTGCAAAGAGAAGGAAACTTTTGGCAGAGGGATGCACCATGCGTATGACTGTGGGAACCTAGGGTTCACATCCCCGTGTCTGGGAGAACCCCACCCTCAGGACTTCGAAATATCTAGCCTAAGGCCTGGAGTGAGATGTCAATCTTTGGCCAAGGGAAACCACAACCCTGTCTTCTTGAAGTCTGTCCACAAGGTGGCAGCAAAGTCCAGAAATTCTATGGAGAGGTCTTGAAACATCACCCCCTTCCCTTCTCCCCCAGGGGCCTCTGAAGCCCCCTTCCTTCTGGGCCGGCCCTTTTGTTCCAGGGTGCTTGGTGCCCTTTTGGTGCTCTGGGCAGAGACCATCCCACTGCCCCCTCCCCTGTCACACACCTGTGGCCACACTGATCCCTGAGCACTGACCTTGCTTCTGTGCTCAGCCCGGACTCCACGCTAAGCCACACACTTCATTGTTCCTCTGCTTTCTGCTTATGCATAATATTAGTTCCCGGCAGCAAAGAAGCTGTTTTACCCAAAGCCATACACATACAGG